CGTGAAGAACCAGCAGCGCGACAGTATATCAGGTTCGCCAGGGAGTCTTCCCCTGCGCACTTCGCTCCCCCGCTCTCCCCCACGCACGGTCGCCGACAGATTTGTGATTCCACCCGCGTCGCATACGCGCACGACGTCCTTCTCTTCGACGACGCAAGCTGTGAGAGGCAGCCCAAGCGGAAGCCCGCGTCTAGGTAACATCCCGCTTCCTGTCACACGCAACCTCTCCAGCGCAGGCATGGGCACTTCCGGGGTTTCCGACTCGTCCTCGTCCAGACAGGGGGCCGCCTCCATGGGCTCGCGTGAAGAAGTTACTGCTCTCGCAGCCCGTGTCAGGCACGACAGTATACACGGGCGAAGTTCGGTATGTGGCGTCAGCGCCTGGTATATGCGCTTGTACTGACATTGCTGCAGCAGGACGGCACAACGCCCGGCGGCGTCCCAATCAGGCGCACACCAATTACCGCTGTGAACGCGTTCAAGTCGTCCACGATCTCGTCGGGATCGCCCTCTCTTCACTCGCCATCGCCGTCTCTGCGCCAGCATTCACCGCTCTCCACGGGCGGCCCCTCTTTACCATCGCGTCCAATGCAGTCGCCGTCGTCTTCGCGCGTGCCGCCATCTCCCATTGGTGCCGGAGGTAACTTCGCATCCTCCCCCGTCACCCCATTCCGCCCGTCTCCGACATTCGCGCCGTCAAGCCTAGGCTCTGGCCGGTCACCTGCCTCGGGAGAAGGCATCCCTGCCAGTCCTGCTTCTGCGGGCTTGCAAGGTTCGCCTCGCCAGCAAGGCAGGCGGTACACGAGTAGCTTTGGCCCCCGCACCGCAGGTGCCACCGGGAGTAGAGAGGCTAGCCCCCGCAGTAGCCCAAGAGGCGCCGCGAGGGAGTTGGAACGGGTCCCCGTAAGTTCATGCACTATTGTTACGAGGGTTGCATCGCGCTGACCGCACGACATCAGGGCACATCACTCATGAGCACACACACGGACGATGACGACATCTCTGCGTTCGTCCAGGACATCGACGCGCGCAGGCCCCTGTCTGGCAGGCGCGAGGACTCGCCCGTCCCCGGTACCTCGCCGCACGCCCGCGAACGCACGATCCGCGAGGAGTCCGAGTCGAGCGACCGCGATGTCGCTCCTCCCGTCCGCGCACGTGCAGCGTCCACGCCGTTCCCTATGCTCGCGACGGCGTCGGCGGTGGACGAGCACCTGCGCGAGATGAATCAGGCTTTCCTCGCCTCTCTCGAAGGCTTGGGCGGCCGGAGCTCCAGACGCGACTCTAGCGGCAGCCCACGGGCTGGGTCTACCGGCGACAGGGGCGGGACGACACGAAGAGTTCCTCTCGACCCTAGGGCGTACGAGGGAGGCTCGCGACGGGGCAGTCCGCTAGAAGATCCCCACACGGAAGGTTCGACGTCCCCCGTCGGGGTTGGCATGCCACCCTCGTACGTCCGGCCGCGGCTGGCGTCGACAGGTAGCGCAAGGAGCGGGTTCAGCATCGCCTCCGAAGAAGTCATTGGACGAATGGACCCCGAGGTGGGGTCGAGCGACGAGCGACGGCGGAGCGCGCTTGGACGCAACTTATGATCTGCACGATCTGCATGTTCTTCTGCCGCACGGTAGCGCGCGATATGGTGCAGGACGGTGCTTCAGGACCGACGTCCGGTTCTTTGTGACGAGTGGACGAACGATTCGCTACCACACACCAGCACGCATACCCACGCACGACCGCACGACCACACTGATGCCGGCAACGTCACGTAACTATTATGGCTCCCTGTTTTCCTCCTTATTATCTGTCCTATGTAGCATGCATCTATCGTTTCCACGGACGTCTGGACCCCTCTTCACAGCTGTTGCATTATTAGGCCTGTTGGCGCGCGCATATACTCATCCCGTTCTCGTCTCCATCCCCAGTTTGGCCTCCTCCCTCCCTTCCCGTCCGTACGTGCGATGTGCGCATAGATCGTGACAGTGTACAGTTACAATATACCACCACCCCTCTCCTGGACCGTCTCCTTCACGCTGGAAGCTTCGCATGGTCGCACCCTCGTCGATGATCACAGGTATATTCATACAACAGCCGGACCTTACAGGTACATCCGACAGCGAGCGAACAAGGTCGTAGTAGCAAGAAGGGATCTCCACGAATCTGGGCAACGATTTCTTTACGTCGATTTGTGTCCTAGTGGCCTAGGTCAGGTGGAAGGGTCGGCTGAGGTCCGCGATGCGTACCTTTCTTATTTCGTCCAGAGATAAATCCGGCAAGGAAGCGAATCATGCTCGCTGTCTCCTCCCCGACAGGCCTAATCCACTCCGCAGGCAGTGAGAAGCCGTACTGGACCCAGACATGATGAGTACAATGCGTCGCGGATAGAGGATGCTGAGGATGCTTACCGTCCCGGTGTCGCGAAGATGGACGGAGTACGAGAACTTGATGCCTGCCTTGGCATACATGTAGTCGACGACATTTCCGGACGCCCTGCGAGTGAATGCTGTGTCAGAAGACGCTGTCGCGTGCCGGACCGAGGCCACGGGGGACGCACTTGTACAGTTGGTGGCAGAGGCTGCCGGTCTATGCGTGGTGGTTAGCGCCGGGGGGATAGGGTGGTGGCGTACGCAGCACATACGGTGAAAGGCGTGCCGTGCACCTGCTTGATTGCGTTCACGGCCCCGAGCGCGGCCTCGAGCTGGTTCTCCGCGTCTTTCGGGACCTTCTTGCATGAGTAGGAAAATGGCGTCGACACTGCGTGTGTTACCAGAGGCTGATGAACCGGAAATGCCGCACTAGTGCTTACCCATTTGTCCATAGCTCCTTAGGTCGACGTACGTATTGAGGGCGGGAAGTGTTGTGATAAAGTTCGCGATGTTGTTCACCTCAGGGGATTCAAAGGGCCGGTGGCCGGGGTACCAGGGCGAGCACGGGTCAGCCTCGGACTCTGTAGTCGATACGGTATCGTCCGTGTCTTCGACCAGGGAGGGAAGTTTAGACCTCGACTTCCACTTGTGTCCCTGACGTGCCATGGCCAAACATTAGTAGCTATTTTCCCGCACTTTAAGTCTTCAACACACCCAATTTCTGTCACGGAGATGAGCGAAAGGGTAAGGATTCCGGAGGTAGTAGGAGACACCGACCGGTTCATATCAACTCCGACACATTTTTCAGCAGGACCCACAATCTGTCTATTCTTGTACCTATACGTTGGATTAGTATGAAGCTGTCGTAGACGGGGGCAGATAATTCCTACCATAGGCGGTCGTTCTCCCATGTGTAAACGTAGCCGTCTGGATTAGGGACAGGAATTATGTAGAAATCCTATGATATGGTTAGAATTGTGGGGTTTAATCTTCCGGGTGATGTACTCACGAAGTAGTCCAGCCACGAAGACAAGGCAAAGTCTTCTGCGTCATCCGCAACCAAGGCATGGGCCAGGTAGAGTGCTGTAGAAGTAGCTATCCACTAAATTGAGAATAGCCAAGTTTTCAGCACTACATCATATCCTCCTGCGGGTCGTACTAACCTCGCGAGCGTGCTGTGCGCCCGTTATAACGAATCCGGTCTTCTTCACCACCGAAGAGCGCTTCATTTCATCAGCCTTCCGCGAAAGCTGCACTGCAAACATTTCTCGACCTTGAGCAGTGTGCCCGAGGTTCACAAGCTGGACGAGATCCGGGTATGTGCGTGCCAATTCGCCCACAAAATCCTCTATCTCGTATAGCGGATGATACACCGAGTGGTATGTGGAGTTGGCGAGGGAACCAATGTTCCCCCGGCCGGAGTAGCCGTGCAAGACGTCGAAAGTGTCAAGGATAACTGATCCTGCATCGGCGAAAGATTGATTTAAGTGTCCTTCCGAGTGCTGGAAGATTACATCCACATGGGACGGTCCGACTTGCCACACATGAGCGTCGGACGCCTGAAATTCAAGTGTAAGCGCGGTATAAGATTAGGAGTCATTGGATGTTCAACCTCTGGCTCACGAAGGACATCTTGCAAATCCCGGTCTAAGAGACTCGAGCGGGCGTATCTTTTCAGTACACTGGGTCCGCCCGCACGTTCCGACCCGAACGGTATCTGCTCATGCTCGTAAGAGGAGACGGAGTATGCCAGACCGGCACATGTCAGGGAAACAAGCCAGCGGGAGAACATCGAGCTCGCCGTTGAGTAGAAGCTGCGCGGTCCCCACACTCCGTTCTAGCCGTCCGTTCCATTCTGGGCTGCCGGCCTTTGCCGCCGAAGCACACGAGTCACTACCTTTACGTAATGTGGAACTGTGGTTTGACGCCTGCTGCAGCCCGGACCTCAGAGTTGTTCAACCACTCTCAGCACACGCCCTGCCTAACTTTATAACTATGTGTATGCCATCACGTCTCGGCTATTTAGGTACATTCTGTGTTTTGGACACTAGATAAGGCTGCGGCGAACCTCGTATAGCCATCCGAAAAAGTCATCAAAACCCATAATCCGAGACCTAGCAGCCATAGCCTAAAGGCACCACATCTACGGCATGCTATTGACATGAATGGTTAGCACGCAGGAAAAAAAGGCACATCTTATAGTTGGGCTCGGTATGCGTATTTTGATTGTGTAATCTCCCCCTTTATATCAATTTACTACCAGATTACATGGGCAGCCTAAACCGGCTCGTTGAAATGGCAGTTATCACTAGTGCTATCAGATATATTTTGGAGAGACTTATAGGTCTCACCCAAAAGCCTCAAAGTAGTTACCTGTCCACAACCATGTGGCCACCGTGATAGTCTGTAGCTTTGTTGGAGTTCAGATTATACAAACATGACCCTCATAACTGAACACAGGCTGGGTAATATAAGGGAATACAACAACACATTTAACATGACATGTAACCTTTGGCAGTCAATATCTACCTATCCCCTCCTGGCTTCTGCCATATTTTCATCATGGTTGGTCAATGCTTACCTTGTGTCCATCTTGAGGAGGGAACTGATTATGGTACCACTTATTCGTTAACCAGACATCCTTCGATAGCTCAGTTGGAAGAGCGTGAGACTGTAACTGGAAATCCAAACGTGCAGTAGCACGTGACATCTCAAGGTCACTGGTTCGATCCCGGTTCGAAGGATCTTTTTTGAGACTTTACTACTACTACGCTGTCGGAATCGCGGACGCTATCAAAATGAAAATAGCATGAAGAAGCGTTAATCCTCCATCACGAGTGAGAGTTATTCTACCTCGCACAACTCATACAGCAAAATCTTCGTTTTAATGACACAGAGTTCGCTAACGACAGCGTGCTACACCTCAGCAGCCGCTCCCGGAAGCGTCACTCGGAAGACCATGAATTGATTGTCGTTGTCCAACCCCGCATCGAACGGCTGGCCCAACGCAATGCCCTGTGTGCTAATGAAATCATTGTCGGCCTAATGGCGGGTGTAGATCCTAATCAACGATGTGTACCCCAAGAACAAAATCAAGTCACTCACTGCGGTGAACAGGAAAAAGTCATCTGGATAGTCGGGGTCGAAAGCGGGTGCGAGCGCAAGGGACTCCCACTTCGCGTCAATCAGGGTCTGATCGGCGGGTTTTCCTAAGGAATCTCAATTAGCTTGCCTCAAGCGGGCAAACAATGATGATGTTCAACCGACCGTTGTGCACGCCAAACCTTCCCAGCTGTGTGTCATCGATGAAGTCGACGAAGGAGACATAAGTGCCAGGAGTGATCTTCTTGTTCAGCTTGCCCTTCTTTGCGATGGGGTTGCTTGGGTCGTCATACTTGGTACCATGAATGTCAGTTGCGTCACGGATATCAAGCAGGTCTGCTTGCCTGATACAGAAGTTAGCGCATCGATTGACTGTGCAGTTCCTGAAACTTACTTGTAAGAGGACTTTGCGTCGTCCCCGCCGTGTCCGTCGCCGTCGCGGGACAGCACAAGGAAGACCCCGTCGCTCACGAAGTGCAACTCACTGGAGCCGAGCGTCTTACCTTTCTTGCTTTGCGGCAGCGGGACGACAAACTCGCCAATGAGCGGCGGGCGCACCGCCAACGCGTTTGATATATCGTACGCAAGCAGACGTGCGTAGCGCGACGTCGTCTTGTCCGATCCACCGTCCTGAATGGTGGCCGACTGCAACAGCGCGTACAGCGTCTTTCCGTCGGTGTCAAGAGTAAGGCCCTCAAAACCTGTGATGGAGAACGTGCATACAGTCACCCAGCAAACGATATGGACGACATGACAAACCTTGGTTCCCCGCCCGCCCCGTCGTGGGGTCGCTATCAGAGGTGAAGTTGAGCTTCCCATCCACAAGGGGGAGGATGGCCTCTGGGGGTTGGATCGTCTCGATCAATTGGCCTTCAGGGGAGAACAAATAGATGTATGGGCCATATTCGTCGCTCGTCCAGAAGCTGCGCTAGTGATGAGTACCGATTCTAAGTGCACTCGCCCGAGAACCCAAACTTACGTTCCATCGGAGTTCAGAGCGAGACCTTCCGCATCTACGGCGAGGTGGTCGTTGGACGGCGCGATAGGCACAGCGGGATCCTCAATCGCGACGGACCGAGCGGGAGTCTCCGCGGGACGGACTGCCAAAGCATCGAGGCCGGTCGTCTTTTGTGACTCTCGCTCAGTATACAAGAGTGTGTCGCGGTACGCAAGCTGTAGAGTCTTTAGGCCGTCCTCGAACGTGAGCTCGTCAGAGTCGTAGTACGGGTTCAAGACAAAGTCGATTTGGTGCTGTCGCGCTTGGTAGTCGATAGTCCCGTCGCTACGATGGGAACAATCAACTGAGCTCAACCTGCGTTACATGCCAGGCACATACACGTTAAAACCTCTGTCGGGCTGAGCAACGATGGTACCCGTAAACGAGCCGTTGGGCTGCTTCGTGAACGAGCCCCTCTTGAGCGCGATGGCGCTTCCAATACCTCCCAACGTATCACCTAGTGGGCGTGCAATAAGCGCGGGCAGGGCGGCATCAGGCGACGATTACTCACCGGTTGACTCCTTAAAGTTGGAGGGAATAAGGCCAAAGGCAACAAGACCCTGCACGCCGGAGATGAGCTCATCTGGCCTGCGGACGATCCAACTAGCCAAACCTTGTTAATGTACTGCTTTCCGCCGAGCTTGACCTTCACGGCGAACGACGGGTCAGGCTCCGTGCGAGAGGAACGTTGCTCGTACGGGCGCGCGAGCGAGTTTCCCGCTTGCAAGAGCAAAGCAGCGAGGACGACCAGGGCACGCGCCATCTTGTTCAGCCTCGACCAAGAGGTTCCACCTTCAGCGGCTCTTCCCACCAAGGTCTTTTATACGGTCCCATCTGGTGGCTCGTACGGCGCCGTACTGGCGGGAATAGCTAAGTTACGCCGGCGATCTCGACATCCTGATGGAGCATGCGACGACGCGCACGTTCGTTTGTATGCTGTGTGAACGGACGCCGTCGCGCCATTTCGTCCTCGGCGCGCTGGTCCTTCGGCCGGCGCGCATAATCCGATGGCATGTCTCTAAGGGAGTTGTGATCCGCCCTGATGGGGGCTGGTCAGGGCTGGTCGCACCCTCAGATGATGCGATCCAAGAGAGTGTGCGCGGGTTGACGACGGAAGCAATGCCTTGGCGTAAGAAGCTGGAAGGACGTCGCTGCTATTTCCAGCCCTCGACATGACCATGCGCCATGGCCTAAAAACAGCGCGGAGTTAGTGAGGTCTGTGAACAGTATGCAGTGGTAGAAGTATTGGAAATTGTGTAGTACGTGCGTTTGCTTCTCTATCTCTCGGCAATTTGTTGGTTGTCGCCAACTCAATGCCAATGCCTCGACCGAACGGGATGCCTTAAGAACGTAGGTATAGTATACCCCTTTCAACTAGGCCCGTGTTATTTAGGAAGATATCCTTGGGTAACCAGGAACGACGGCAAACGCAGCCCAGCCGCATGAGGGTCGGGTCGAAGGAATGTCTTGCTTTAAGCGCCCATAGCGTTGCGCCACTTTGCTTGATACCAATGTAGTACTACCAGTACCACCCCGATCATAAGTACTCAGGTACTGATACCACGAACTTAGGAAAAGCAACCTCATCCATCTTCAAGTAGGACAGACATCTTGAAAGTGGCGGACGTCCATTGTAAGCATTAGTACATGGTTCGAGTTGTAAGTACGGTTCATGCGTTTTGCGTTTATAGTAGTATGCGTACTAATATGGTGTCCCAACTTCTAGAATAGCCGCGCTCGGTGTCATTAAGGTTATTACAGTCGCACCTCGGGCACTATATGTTATCGTTCGCACGGCTACGGCATAACAAAGCTGCTATAAGCCGGGTATGTCATCAAGTACTGTTGATGGCCCATACCAGTCCGAGTCGCGTTCCACGCGTTTGAGCCCGGACGACCACGGTCGCAGCCAGTATCCAACTTCATGACCGTCATGCCAGGCAATCCTGAAAGCAAGGTTGATCCCGCCCTCGTTCCTGCGCTCGACGCATCTCTCCTCCGACTCTCAGATGAGGAGCGTGCATTCTTACACGCGTCGATCTCGCCGGACGAGGAGACACTCAAAGCGCGAATCTACGATGTGCAGAGACGGTAAGTCCAGGTAGCTTTAATTCAACCTTCTGACATTCACTGATATCCAAACAACATTGTCAATAGAGCTTAGTACGATACGCCTCTCATAGTTTACGCCTAGCAAAGATCGCTGAGAATTGCGGTATGCCTTGACACAGCGCGGACTACCCATATCCATGCATCCGCATGTTCCATTTCGTGAACCTCATGATGTGTTCCAACGCCGTATACCCCGACATTGTCGCCGCAGGAAGAACCGGAGATACCTTATTCTTGGACTTAGGGTGCTGCAGTACGCGCTCTCCCCCCTCAGGCTGGTCCAACCGTGTCTTCGCCGCTAATGTCAACTTCTCCGATCCTAGTGGGAACCGACGTCCGAAAGCTGGTCTACGACGGCTACCCCGCATCCCGCGTTCTCGGCTGCGACCTCCGCCTCGAGTACATCCAGCTCGGACACGAGCTGTTCGACGACGTGGACACGTGTCCCATCCACTTCTTCACCTCAAACGTCTTCAACCTCCCCACCTCCTCCCCCCAATCTAGCAGTCCAAGCGACACACCGGCACCGGATCCGGCAGCCGTCACCGACCTCGCGCAACTGCGTGGGTCGCTGACGCACATCTACACGGGGGCGCTGTTCCACCTCTTCGACGAGGAGACGCAGCACGGGCTGGCCGTGCGTCTGGCCACGCTTCTTAAACGGCAGCCAGGGGCTACCGTGTTCGGGCGGCACCAGGGTTTGCAGGAGGAAGGGTACATCGACGATCACCTCCATCGGTATGTGATCACACTTTCGGCAGGCTTTGGACGCGTTGGTGACCGCATCTTAGGAAACGGTACGGCCACTCTGGGTTGTCATGGGAGCGTCTGTGGAAGCAAGTGTTCACAGCGGTCGAGGGCGAGGAGTTTGCCTCTAGGATAATCGTCCGGACCGACCTCACAGAGGGCCCCGACCCATATGTCATGGCGGGGACAGCCGGACGTCACTCGCATATGCTCTACTGGAGCGTCCAGGTTGTATAAATAACATTGGAAACGGGTACCAGTAAGTCGGTCGGGGAGAAGGATTTGTATGATTACTTCGTGAAGGGCCGTACCAGGACCATAACACGTTTGAGGCCGCCCAGGGGAATGCTAAGACACGAAAGAGACTAGTTGATCCGGTGTGTTACAATAGCAAAAGTCCGGAGGGATGAGACGATCCTCAACGCTTCAAGGAATGATGACCGCCCGGAAGCGCGCCGTCTCCCTGCGCTCGAACGCCTCCTGCGCCTTGTGCAGCGGGAACCGCTCGACCAAGCATTTCACATTCTTGGCCTGCGCGAACGCCAGACAATCTTCCGCGTCCTTGGGCGAGCCACACGGCCAACCCCGGATCGAGAGGCGCTTCAGGAGCAGCGCCACTGCCCATTCGTTCAGTAATCGGATCCGGGACGTCAGCGGAGACTACTTACAGGGAGGGATCCTCATTGGCTCGGGCTCGACCGCAAGCACCAACAGCGTGCCGTCCACACAGAGCGCGTCGATGAGGCTCTCCGTGACCGCCGCATTGGGCGCGGTGGACATGATGAC